ATACGCTGATAAAGATTCAGGCATCCAGTCCAAATGGGTCTAAAGGTTGCATCATGACAACTGGATCAACCTTGGTTAATCTGAAGTGTTTCACTGCTCATCCAACAAAACTGACTGATGAAGTTGCTTGGATGAGCACTGAAATGTCTCAGATTAACCAAGTTTGGTCCAGTTGCCATGATGCAACCTTTAGACAGAATAACCAAAAGCGGACAAAAAAGCAATGGGTACTTCCAACTTCCTGCCAGCTTCCCCAATGAAATAAACTGAATAAATATTAAAAGAAATTGATCTTCCAAGCTTGGATAACACAAATTCCCAGGCAGATATGCAAAGCCTTGGAAGTTGTATTCCATCATATCTAGAGGCCACTAAACTAGCAAGGCTGGTGTATACTCACAATAACTAATCTACAGCTTCATTTCTGAAAAGTACAGTGACATGTTTGCATGTTTCCTATAAAAAATAGGGAGTGAAGGGTAATGATTGCCACCTTCTGACATTTTGAAACCAGGAGAAGCTTGTTCCAGCTAAAGCAATGGAAATGCCAGTCTTTTATTTTACGAATATTTTATTCATAATTTCAGTGTCAAAAACAGTTTACAAAAGGAAAGAAAATAATTGCTACTTGTACCAAGCAGTTGTCGAATAGTTGAACATGCAAGAAAAAGAATGTGCAAAATTTATATAGAAAGATTTTCAGAAGCCTGCGAAAAGGCTGCACAAAAGGATTTTTAAAATTACATAATGAGGTTTGTTTTTTTAACCTTTCTCACCCCTGTATGTCATTTCAATTTTTAAAACCCTCTTAAACAAATACACAAATATAGGCAGATATATCTATATCTATCTGTCTATCTATATATATCTATATATATATAATTAAACTCTAAAATGAAAACAGGTGAAAATAAAAAATAGAGTAAAATGTTGATTTAATGGACCATTGCGGAGAGTATGCCTATTAAATCTGAATTTGCCTCATTTGCATAACTAAAGTAGCATAATTTGCAGTAAAATCTCTCTATTTGACATATCCTCTACTAACTGAACAAAAGATATTAATTTGTTAAATGGGAGTAAGACCTAATAGAAATCCAGTATTTGTGCACTGCACTCAAAGTATAAACTTAAATCAAGATCCATTAAATTATGGACTTACTGCTACTCATTTTGGAACTGAATTCCTGGGATTAAGTACAGCAAAATTTAAAATATTTGTCAAGACTGTGTGTGAGTTGAGGCTTTGATCTAAGTTATTGATTTAACCATGGTTTGTTAGCCAAACCACAAATGGCTGACTTCATGTAGCCTGCTACACTATAATCTACAATTTGCAATCCTTTCATGGCTAAATGCTTGAAACTAAGCTCACAGATTAATACAATAAGTGATATAACAGCTTTGCCTGGTGTTTCTCAATCTTTACAACTTTAAGAAGTGTGGAGTTCAGAAATTCTGGAAGTTGAAGTCCATACCTCTTAAAAGTTGGCTGAAGTTTAGAAACATTGGCTTAGATTGCCTGAGATTGTAGGAGCATAAAATAAGATCGTTATGGGAGAATCTTCTCTCTCAAATCTCTTCGAGAAATAAATTACATAATAGCACAAATGGACCTTTTAAACAGAGTAAGCCCTGTCCTATGGCAGTAGGATAAAATCTCTCCCTTGCTTTTCAGACATTGTGGATCCTATAGTATTTATAAGATCACGGACACCAGTATTTATAATTGTGATAGGATCTAACTAACCCAACACTCTAGAAAAATCCTTTTAGAATGGATTTCCTGTAGATTTTCACAGCTCTGATCTAACCACCATCTTTTTTTAAAAAATCTCAATCTCAAAAAAAAAGGAATAAAAAATAATGCAAGAACTGGAGTGTGTGTGTATGTATGTGTGCGTGTGTGTATATTTGTTTTCTTAAGTTTTCGCGGGTACTTACATGTATGGCATTCATATATATATTTCAAAGGTCTTTCTGATATACTATCTGGTTCCTACCACTGAATACTAGTGAACATAAAGTACTAACAAAACAACAAAGTGCTAAGGAGCCATCCCTTAAGGCAGATACAGGTGGTCTTTGACTTATGATCCCAAAGTTGAGCCCAAAATTTCTGTCAGTAAGCGAGACCTTGCTTAAGTGAGCTTTGCCCTGTTTTACAACCTTTCTTACCATGGTTGTTAAGTAAATCACTGCAGTTGTTAAAGTTAGTTGGGTGAATCCAGCTTCCCCGTTGTTTCTCAGAATGTTGGAAACACATTCTGGGAATACATGACCTTGGGACACTGCCACCATCATAAATATGAGTCAATTGCCAAACAGCTGAATTTTGATCGCATGACCCTGGGGATGTTGCAATGGTCGTAAGTGTGAAAAACTATCCTAAGTCACTTTTTTCCATGTACATTATAAATTCAAACGATCATTAAACAGACTCTTGTAAATCAAGAGCTACCTGTACTAAGTTCAGCATTGTAAGATTAAACATTGCAAGACTTCCAGATCCAAATATTTCTAGAACAAAGCTCAAATGCTGAAAATACATGCTTTTGGAGAAATTTGGGAAATGGCAATCAAATCGTTTTTTTCACTACTTGTGGCACATTTCCACGCAAGAGAACAATTAAAGCTCCTACAATAAGAATATTGTAGCCATCATTTTAATGGTTGGTTTACTAGTTCTAATATGGCTCATTGATTTCTGGGCTAATTTCACTCAGTTTTGTGTTGTTTTGTATCCTGCATGGAGTTTAGGATTATAGAAATGGGGAAAAAAACCTGGAATTGGAACAGTTAGTTATTAGCCATCAAGTATTTGCAAAGGTATAGAAGACACTCAATCGACTATAGTGCAAAAGCATTTTATCTGACAAGTGTTTGAATTCATTTCCATATTTTTTTCCAGACTCCTCCTCCTTCTCATCCTCAAAATATTTTTATATCTCATCTCACGGAAAAGATCCCAGAGTTGTTCACAAGAATATAAAAAAAAAATTACAAAACCAAAACACTCTGTTCAAAAGATAATGTGTTGATGGAGTGTTGATATCTATTTTTTTTTTAAAAAAAATCAGTGCAGCTAATTCTTTTTTTTTTTCCTGCTGCCTTGGATACTTTTATGGAAAGAAAAAAGACTAGCAGTGAAAAGGTTTGAAGCGAACAATTAAAGAATACTTTGCACTTTGTACATTATAACAGAATTTTAGACTGCAGAATCTTAAATAGAAAGGACCACGGTAGGTGAAATAGATCGGACACTTCAAGTCATAAAAGCATTATATTGACAGCAGGGCAGTGTTTCTGCCAACAATTTAGCAAACAAGAAGAAGTGTTTTCACAAAGCACTGCAAGTTATTTGTGTCAAACTGCAGAGCTGCTAAAATGAACCATCAACAGGTTGCTGAGAAAAATGTGTCAAATCTGTTCTCCCTTATGTAGTGTGTGAATAGAAGGCAAAAAAATATCAAAGAAATATCAAGATTTCGTAGACATTTTACTGCACTTGGAAGATTCCAGGCCTATTTCAAAAAAGGCATCACTGCACATCATTGTGTGTTTACTGTTGATTTTGTAGGGAAGGTTAGTTAACTGGTTGGATGCCCTAATACTCTGGCACAAATTTATGCAGAACCAGAGATTTTGCCAAATGGTTTCCAGGAACTTATAGCTCAGGATCCTACTCCAGACAAAAATGGTTATACGAGACCATCAGACTATTCTGGAATATGGCTTTTATCCCTGAACATGGGTGAACACGTCTCAAAGTCCTAGATTCAACTTCAGTTATAAAGTTAATATCCTATACAACTAGTGCAGAACATTATTATTAGCCTTCAAACAACATAGGTGCCACAATCAGCTTTTCTACAGTGTAACATTGACGTGTTATGTCAGATTTAAAAAATAAATAAAAAAATTCACCTCCTAGCCACCAAGGGTTTTGAGTAGCAGAGTTTTCAAAACACTGGGTAGATACAGGTAGTCCTTGACTTACCACCACAGTTGAGCCCAAAATTTCTGTTGCTAAGCGGGACTTTTGTGAAGTGAATTGTGCTCCATTTTACGACCTTTCTTTCCACAGTTGTTCAGTGAATCACAGCAGTTGATAAAAATTAGTAACCTGGTTGTTGAGTGATTCTGGCTTCCCCATTAACCTTGCATGTCAGAAGGTTGCAAAAGTTGATCACTTGATCCCCAGGTCACTGCCACCGACGTCATAAATATGAGTCAGTTGCCAAGCGCCTGAATTTTCATCATGTGACCCTGGGGAAGCTACCGTGGTCGTTAAGTGTGAAAAAAGGTCCTAAGGCACTTTTTTCAGTGCCACTGCAACTTCAAACGGTCACTAAGTGAACTGTTGTAAGTCAAGGACAACCCGTATAGGCAGTATTTCATAAGGCCAGAAAATAACAGATTTGCAGACTATGCAGAGTATTTTTTTTTGAAAGTTGAGTGATAACAGTATATAAAAATGATTTCACGCACACATATATACAAAAGCATACTTTAAAACCCCACTACTGCAGGAACTGTTATTCTTGTAAGAATAACAGAAATTATGTCATGCCATAAGGTTTTTGCAAACCTCTACAAAAGAGTTAATCTCTCATGCGATCACAATATTGCTTTCATCATTTTGCACCCTTCCTGCAGATGCCCCTAAAACTTTCTGATTCTTTTTAATCTTCATTTGCATCTAATCTCCCAATCACAAAACCGTTTCCTTAACATTTGATAACCGTTTATTTGTCCAAATGGGGCTTGCTTTCTGACAAAACCTATCTATTAAAACACAAGTTTCCTATTTACTTACAAGTAGTCCTTGGCGAGCGACAATTGGTGGGATTGGCAACTTGGTTGTTAAGCGAGGCAGTCACTATAAGTAAAACTGTGACTGTTTACAACCACGAGGAAGAGCAGAACTTCCATTGCTAAGCAGGGCAGTTGTTCAGTGAGCCACTCACTTTTACAACTTTTGTTTTTTTGTTTTTTGTTTTGCCATGGTGGGTAAGCAAATTGTTGCAGTTACTAAGTGAATCACACGGTTGCTAAGCGAATCTGGATTCCCCTATTGATTTTGCTTATTGGAAGGTAGGTGGGAAGGTTCCAAATGGCAATCAGACCCCCAGGATGCCACAACCATTGTAAATACATGCCAATTGCCAGGTGCCAAAATTTTGATCAAGTGATCAAGAGGATATGGTGAGTTGTAAGCGCAACAAATGGTCGCTGTTGTACCTTTGTCATTAAACAGACTGTTGTAAGTCAAGAGCTACCTGTATTCCAGTCTGACTTCCTATTTTCCTGACCGTATCAATGTCTCAAACCCTCAACCCTTGATGCAAATGACACCATGCCCATATGGGAATTTTTCCTACTCTATAGAGGGAATGCTTCAAAGAGAAAGACTAATGTTTTGGTGATTCAGACGCTCTTTCTCAGCTATAACGATGTCTGAATTTGTGATTAGAAATGTCATTACCTGGATATGCAGCGTGCCTGTATCTCTAATTTTTCTTAAAATTAGGTATTTCATCTACACTCAGGATTCAAAAAACCCATGTTAGCAAATAGGAAGAGGCTTCTTAGCTATTTCATCTTTTATCCGAGGGAAGGCTCTGGGTATAACCCATGTGGCATCATCAATTTTAACATCAAATGATATCAAAACTGCCAAACTCGGTTCATGAGATCACAGGAACACGCATTATGCCCTCTAGCATAAGGTAGTTATTCCTGGGTTGCAAAGTGCGCAGTGACCAGTAGATGTCAGCAAAGAGTTTAGAAACTCTCTCTTTCCTGACATCTAATGGCTGCTCATATTTTGCAGCCCAAATACTGCAATCCTCATTGAGAGGGGTAATCTTCCACATTTAAATTGCAGAAAGATGGTTGGGGTTTTTTTTTCTTAAGATAATGAGTAAACATCTGCACTGCATGCAAAGTTGAAAAACCAAAACGTGTTTCTAATAAAAGGTCTACTCAAGTAGTTTATCCAGCTGCCTAAGCTGTACTTACAACATAGTCAGCTTTCAATGGTATCCAAGAATGACCTCGGGAAATTTCCAAATTTCCCAGGACTCGGTTACATTTAAATACCATAAAAAGATAGCCAGATAAATTAAAACTTAAGTGTTACAAAAAGCAGCACCAGGAAAGCTACTATCAACAGATTTTTTTAAAAAAAACCACACATCTCTTTAGATGATGTACAGAAGCTTTATACCACACACTGGTTTATTTGGAAAGCTGTTTCAGAGGTAGAAACTGGGAAATTTTATCCGGATTCAGTTCATTTTTTTTAAAGAATAAAGGGATATATCCTTGTAAATCTTTTTTTTTTAAAAGTTTTAGGTATAAATATCTTCTGCAAACAAATAAAAAAAGCAGAGTTGGGAATAGTTCCAAGCTTTAACCTAACTGCAGTGTATCATTCCTCTGGCTTTGAAAATCCAGAAGACATTTCCAAATATTTGCAGGGTGACTCTTCTTTGCATTTCCTAAACTGTCAACGAAAGTTTGCACACCAATTCTTACCAAGCTTAATATTTACAAAAATCTTGCCTTTTTACATAAGTCCAACTAGGAGGCTATATTCTCTCAAGAGTCCAAGGCCATGAGATTATGGCTACTTCTGCCTCCTAAAAGTCTCTTGTCGTCTTTGACTCAGAAACAATCAGGCCGTATTATTTACACGCTATGATACAAACTGAGCCATTCTGCTCAGCAGTGTAGTGTCCCATCAGAACAATACGATAGGTAGTGAAATTATTAGGGAATTCAGAATCTGAACAAGTTGATAAAGTCTTGTGGCGAAAGAGCAGTCAAGCAGCTTTCTGGGTTATTAGCCGTACAGGGATGATCAGTGCCCTATAAAAAAAAGAACATCAAAATCTTTAAAATTTGCATCCAGTAGTTCTATCAGCACCAGAAGGACAAATGGCATACTAAATGCTCATCAATAACTAATTCATCAATCATATGAAGATATGCAAAGTGGGTTTAAATTCACATCCTTTTTATTTGATTTTTTTTACCCTTTATTACTTTATAAGCAACTCAGGGCAGCGAATGTACATACTCCTTCCTTCTCCTATTTTCCCCACAATAACAATTCTGGGAGATGGATTAGGCTGAGAGTGAGCGACTGGCATAAGGTTCCCCGCCCGCTTTCATGCCTTCGGCGGGATTAGAACTCACAGTCTCCTGGGGATTGGCCCAAAGTCATCTCAACCGGCTTTCCTGCCTAAGGCAGCACTAGAACTTACAGTCTCCTGGTTTCATTTGTTAATGGAACATTTAGAATATGCATAGTTGAGATAAGAAACATGGAGTCTTAGACCGGAATTTTTTTCTGTTAGGACTCAATGTGGGGAAATAAGGATACTATATATATTTAATAATTCATATAATAACAGCTGCGAGATTGGTTTATGCACAACACTGGAAGGGTAAAGAAACTCCAAATGAATTAGCAATAATTAGGAAAATTTGGATGTGCGCAGAAATTGACAAATTGACAAAGGAACTACAAAATAAGGATGAATCAGATTATTACAAAATAAGGGATAAGTTTTATGGTTGGTTAGAAAAGAGAAATGATCACAGACTATAAGAAATGATTAAATGTATTATATGGTATATAGTATTATATATAGAATGTAAACATGTACTATTTTTATATGTGATTTAGCAATGTAAGACAAAGATGTGGGTTAGGAGGATTGTACTGTGTTCAATATTTTTAATGTTTCTTTTTGTTTTTGTTCAATAAAACTTGAAAAAAAAGATATTAAAAAAGTTTACAAAGGGTAAAATGTTGAAAGAAAAAAATCTACAAAAGTTTCTATAATAAAGTTTGTGTTGAATAAAAAAAGAAACATAGTGTCTTCACATATTAGGGCATTTATTAATCTACTCATCATTATATGAAATTTAAAACTGTTATTTTTTAAATGGCCTGAAAATCCACAAGATTGCTAAAATCAATGAATTATGTAGAGAAAACAAAAAACCCAGTTCTACAGTGTATTTCAGCACAAAATGACCACCTACCTTCCATGAAAGGATATGACAATGTCTACAAAGCTGCAAAGTATCTCCATATTGCTCTTTCCGCGGATAACATCTCACAAGCTTGAAGTACATCTTCTTCCAATCCAAATGCCCTTTATCTGACAGTATTAGCCGCTTGCGTATCTAAAACAAAGACGACACCAAAGAAATGATAGATTTGCAAAAGTACACGGAGATATGGGTAACGGTATGGTCATCCTGCAAAAAGAGAACCCATGAAGAAGCAAGTCTGAGAGAATGCATGCTGCCTTGAAACAGTAAGTGTGGATGTGGCAAGTCTTAAAATTAAAAATAATGTTGGGACAGGATGAGGAGAGGTCAAGAATTAACACAAGAAATAATAACTGGAAGCAACTACAAGGTGTTCCTTCTCCAAAAATGGTGGGGGAATTTTTTTAAAAAGTCCTTTATGAAGGGCATGAAGGAAATAAAGCATTTAAGCATAAGCTGCATGCCATAATTACTTAGTGGACAACAATGTGCCCTCGGGAGAAGCCTTAGAGGCAAGTTAGTGTCCATGTGTGTTGGGCCACCTTGGTTGAATAAGCTTCATGATTAATCAAGAATGGATGGTGAACTAAGGATTATTCCAATTCATTTTCTCTATATTTCTTTGGAGCTTCCACAACATTTTCCACTGCCGTTTACCTGTCGGTCTGTGAAGTGGTAATGGCAGAGTTTTTTCCAGAGGAGTCGGTCTTCACTGAGCACCTGAAGACTTGGAGTCACTTGCCCAAGACTCACAATGTCTCGCCCATCTGACAGCCGTTGCATGATATCTAGTTGTAAACACAAGGGCAGGTCTGTGAAAGTCAACCCTTTGAAATCAGGCTGGAGAAATAAAAGAGAGAAAAGAGAATGGGTGACCACATTGAAAGATACCAAGGTTTCTATGCAACTTGTAAGAACGTTCACCTGTTGTATTAAAGTTGTCTTCAAGTTGGAGCTGACAACCTCAAGATTTCATGAGCAGATTCTTGAGGTGGTATTGAAAAGGTTTGCCATCTTGGGTTCTTTCCATAATATTTTGTGTGTTTTTTTTTCAATTTCCCACCTAGCCTATAGCCTTAGACTTCCTAAATGGTGCCCATTCAAGAAATAACTCTGAGCATTCTCCATTAACCAAGGCCAGGTACAAGTATTAGCTCACTTCACAACCCTAACCGGGCCTGGAATTTCCATTGCTAAGTGAAGTGGTCATTAGGTGAAACATCACATGACCTCACTGCTTAGCAACAACAGTTCTAGTAGTCTTGGTTGCAGTTGTTAGATGAGGAAGTGAGATCATTAGATGAGGACTCACCCTTGTGCTGCCACTTGGGAATGGGTCAGTGGCAGAGTGCAGCCGAAAGGAAAGAGATGGGGGGAAGATAGGCAGGAAGGGGGAATTAAAGCACACACTAGAGTCATAAATGTGGGTGGGATTCTAAGAGCCTGAATTTTGATCACATGATCACAGTAGCACTTAAAGCAGCTGTAACTTCAATGACTACCTGTAAGTACCATTCTTTCAGTGCCATAGTAACTTTGAATGAATGCTGATCATTGAGTGATGAATCAATGAATCAATGATCATTATTCCTACAATCACTGGCACCTAGCTGGGCCCTGATTCACCTGCTAATGGATTTTGTCAGCACGTTTGTAGGTAGATTTAACTCTGCTTATTAATCTTGTTGTTGTTGAACCTCTTACAGCTTTAGAAAATAACCCAATACCGTCCGTCCGTCCTCCCAAAATAAGACCCTGTCTTATATTTTTTTTGCCACCAAAAAAGCATCAGGTCTTATTTGCGGGAGGTGTTCTGACCCAAACCCTTTTCCAATGAAACAAACAATAACCAAAGGGAACAGAAACCTTTTAATGAGTCTTACAAATCCCCAGTTAAAAGGCTGCTGCAAACTAAGCACAAACCTCTCCAAAACTGTGTGAGACTGCCAAGAATCACAGATAAGACATATTTCACAACATAAGAGTCTTCAAATACCAACTAAGATATTGCAATGTCCATGAAGACAAAGAATGTCTGATTCACAGCTGGCTTTTATCTTCTTGAAGGAGGGGCCATTACCTTGCAGCCTTACTCCCGAGTCGCCCATGCTGCTTCAGCTGCTCCTTCCTCCGATCAGCCCTGCGCACATGCACACTTGGAACAGGCTCCTCAGGAACCTCCTCATCGCTGCTGCCAGCCCCCACAATCTCTGAAGGCAGCAGTCCACTCCCTAATGGTCCTGGCCCTTCATCTGAGTCCTCACTCTCCTCAGCTGTCCACACCTGCTGCCGGCTAACCACAACAGGGGGATGTCATCCACTGGCTAACCTCATTTGCACACGTCACCCCTGGCCTTCTTTTCGCTGTCAAAGGCCTTCAGGAACTTCTTCTGCGGCCAGCAAGGCTTTCCTAAGGCCTCTGCAGCTAATAGCAGAGCTCTGGATCAATCCAGAGCTTTGTTATCAGCTGCAGAAGCCTTCAGGAAAGCCTTGCCAGCCTTGACGGCTGCAGAAGAAATGGGCTGACAAGGCAGGTGTCGGGTTGTGAGAGGCATGGCTACAACTGTCCAAAGGTAAGTAGTAGGGCAGTTCCACCATCCGCCATCCCCACCGTAGCTTAATTTTTACCAGTGCACTCTGGAGTGGGTGGGGTCTTAATTAGGGCTTATTTTGGGGGGTAGGGCTTATACTGGGCGCACGTGTAAAAATCAAGCTAGGACTTACTTTCGGGGTGGTCATATTTGCAGGGAAATAGGGTAGCAGTTCTTTGATCAGCTGGTTAAAAAGTCCGGTCCTTTGCTCACCTTGGTGATCTGAATATTGTTCAGCTGCTGCTGCCAATGAAGAATCATCTCCATTCGGTAGACCCACATGTTTATGTTGCCAACTAGAACAGACTTGCCAACACTCTGGACCAAGGTGCAAAGTGACATGTACAGAGTCTGCAGCAGTTCTTTTATCAGTCTGATATTCTGTTGATCTTCCAGAACTTGATGGGGGAAATGAGAGAAAAGCAACAGTCAGATACAGGCGAAGAAGAAAGAAGCCAACAAACTAAAGAGAAGCTACTTTCTTCTAGAGGACCACAGAGAAGGATCCGTTTTGCTTCGCCTTTCCTTCGCTTCCAGGACGGTACAAAGGAATGTTTCAGCATTTCCATCCTACAAAGCCTTCAGTCCTTACACAACAATTTGAAATTGCCTTGCAATTATCCCACAGACTTAACAATAATTAGAAATGTAGGGAACACCATGAGCCAGCCAATGTTTCCTTTAAGTTGACCAGTGCTGCTGATCTTCACAAGACCTTAAACAAAGCTATTTTTTATTATTATTTGGGGCCTTTCTGCCTTGGATGATAAGCCAAATCTTCATTACCTCCTCCTATCTCAAAACCTGTCACCACTCTGAAGCGTGAGACACATATATAACGGTATCACTTCCTGCTAAAGACAGGCTGCTATGACATTCACACGGGGTTGGGAAGAACAAGGCAAAGCGATTCTACTCATCCGTGTCATTTTTCATCCTTCTCTAACTGGTGTCTTCCATATCTAATATGTTGGATTACTACTAGTTATTCTGGCTATATATAATGGAGGCTGTAAGGAGATTGAAGGACATCATATTGGGACAAATTGCTATTACTGTATATTGCATTTGGTAGGATTTAGTTGCACCTCTCAGCAGGAACTGGTCCAAAATCAAAGATGTAAACCTAGCCAGATTGTTTGCTAAATTAATGTACTAGAGATCAGCCTGTTTCTTGGACAATCAATATTCTGCCTTTTCACACACACACACACACACACACACACACATCCATACCTTTTTGCACAACTTTCTCCAATATATTCATAAAGTTTTTCTGCGCGATTCCACTCAGTGATGTCAGCTGAGACTTTGCAATCAGCTCCAACAACTGTGAAGAAAAATAAGACATTCAACCTCTTGAGCACTTCTAATCTGGGTTTTGTTTCTCATGTGACCCAGTGAAACTGTTTTAGTTATTTGCTGCTTGACTTAACAAAAAAAAAAAAAAAAGGATTGGAACCAGACAGAATTATGGGGAAAGGCAGATGCAAGATTTAAAATAATTACAGTCTATTGGCTTCTTCTGGTAGGTTTACTTATCAAGCTGAGTCATTAAAACAGGGGACAAAGATAGACAGATGGCTGACATTTAATCTCTTCGGAAATATACAAGAAACTACATGATGGCAGTGAAAGAGACCCAAAAGTCCTCCCCTTCTTGTTACAGAAAATGTGCATATGCTTTTCAGTTGTACTTTCAACATAGCAGCAAAGTGGTATTAATGGCAGGTCAACTTCTGTTTATCATTCTGCCCAATTCTGAATGACAATGGAAGACATATGGGGCATTCTATTAATACCTTCCATGGGCACATGACTGATAATATAAACCCGGGGAGCTGGGAAAACAGTCACAGCTAATTGGCTAATCCAACCAATGCCGACTAATCAACGTAATCTTTATGAATCACCAGGGACTTGACAAAAATAAAATCAAATGCTCGCACTCACAAACTCTGTGCTTTCAAAGCCCCACAGAAAATCACAGTCCCTGACCAAGAATGCTTTCTCATATGCATTTCTACTCATTTATATCTAAACCGGGCATGGTCTAAGACAAGAGCACGCATGACTCAAGAACATGTTGGGTGCCATGCTTCAAAAAAGGTGGAGGAAAGCCCCATTTTGGGTGAAGGCAGAACATACATGTTAAAGGACAAAATAGCTGCCGTATGTCTCCGTCTTGGATATGGTGGTTTTAAGCTACCCATTTTGCACTAACTCCAGAACATTGTTGTCATCGTCATCATCATCATCATCATCATCTATGACAAAGGTCTTCAAAGTTGGCAAGTTTAAGACTTGTGGACTTCAACTCTCAGAATTCCCGAGCTAACATGACTGGAGGAGGAATTCGGGGAGCTGAAGTCCACGAGTCTTAAAGCTGTCAAGTTTGAAGACCCCTGATCTATGATCTACCCCAGCAACTGTAGGGCCTACATTTTTTCTGCACTTGTTATCTAAAGACTACAACATGGAACATATACCCTGTTCAGAATTGATGGTAACACTTAGAAGACATCTTAAAAGGTAAGCAAAGCTGAATTGGAGTTGACACCACCAGGAACTACAAGCATAGCAGGGAAATTGAAAAAAAAGCATCTCAGAAGGCAGAGACAAAGCATTTCTGCATTGTGTTCCCCTGGAAACCACTACCACCCCGCCCCACAAGCTATCTGGAAAGTCAACTTCAAGATGTCATTTTCAGTACTCCAAAGGAGTATAAAAGAGCTTCTTATTTCTGTTTAGCAATGTTCCTCAAGATGTTTAGCAATATTCCCAGAAGATGTGTAAACTTCAACTTCCAGAATTCCCTAGCCAGCAAAAACGGGCTGGGAAATTCTGGGAGTTGAAATCCACACATCTTCTGGTTACCCAAGTTGAGGAACACTGCTGTACAGTATTGAATATTTGAAGGACTACTAACCTTACTTGAACATACCTTCATTTTAAGACATGCTAAATTCTTTGTTAGCTAACATAATCACACAGATTACTAGTTATCTTGCTGAACATGCTAATTCCATTTTAAAGGGCACCTTAAATCCTACTCTGATTTTCAGCAGGTATCAACAAAGTGGCAACAACTTGGTATTTGAGACCTTGGCCAAGTCCTGCCAGGGACATTACAAGAGCTCAGGTGGGGTTTTGGGTGACAAATAATAGTTCATTTCTCCCTTTGATATTCTTCTTGCCACTGATCTAATAAAATCATTTCATACAAAGTTAAAATACTCTAAAGTAAAACCAGCTTAGGAATTGACATAATATTTTGTGGGGTGAATTGATTTACGTTCATGGTACTTGGCTAATCTGATTAATTTATTTGAACCAGCCTATTTTAATTTAAGCTATGCTGGTTTGGTGGAACTTATTCTTTTTCCCACATTCCTAAATCTTCTGCCCATCTAAATTAGAAAATTTTGAATTTGGAACTATAGTACAGCTCAATTTCTAAGGCTTCAGAAAACAGAAAAGACAGGTTTGGTTCTTTAATCCTGCAATTTATAAATTTTGAAATGCTAATGGTGAGAAATTTGGCTTTAACTAAATGTCTTTCGAGTTTAGGTTTTTTTTAAAATGATCCTCTATTTCTTTCTGTCACTCAATTTTTTAATCCAATTTTTATTTTATTTAGAATGGCAACTCTCTTGTTATTTATTTTTAAATGCTCTGTAAGTTATTTTGAGCCATTTCAGGCAGAAAGAGTCATTTCACAAACACTCATTCTCCAGAAGTCAAGAAAATATCCTGTTCCCGAGTTCGGGAGAAGCCATGTTATAACATCATCATGACCCTGGAGTGCACACTTTGTGACATCAGGGGTGGGATTCTACCAGTTTGGACCACTTCTATAGAACTGGTTGTTATGATTGTGCGCAGTTCGGAGAACCAGCAAATTGTGCCCCTGGCTGGCCTCTCCCCTCCCCTCCCTGCCCAGTCAGTTCTTATCATGCATGTGCAACATTGCGCATGCCCAACATCGCTGACTGTGTTCTTCCCCACCCAGTTTCTTTTCTTTGTTTCCCTCCCGATGATCAACTGTTCCTATGATCAGCTGTGCCCGGATTCCGCTCACTTACTTACTGCTTAGCCCAGGAGGCTTCCCTGAGGCCCAGGAAGGCAAAAAATGGAGGGGAGCACAGCATTGCCCACCTCCTCCGTTTTTTGCCTTCTTGGGCCCCAGGGAAACTTCCTGGGAGCAACCCGCCCCCCCAGGAGGCTTCTCTGAGGCCCAGAAGGCCCCAAAATGGAGCATAGGGAGGTGTTGCATGTCCCCCCAGGCTCCAATTTTTTCCTTCCTGGGCCCCAAGGAAGCCTTCTGGGAGCAAAAACACCCCTCCTCAGGAGGCTTCCTTGAGGCCCAGAAGGCCCCAAAAATGAGGGGGGGTGCTGCCATAAAGAAGGAGGAGGAGGAGGAGGAGGAGGAGGAGGAGGAGGAGAAGAAGAAGAAGAAGAAGAAGAAGAAGAAGAAGAAGAAGAAGAAG